TCACGCCAGAACTTCTCCATCTCTGGGCCATAGGCCACGTCCACCGCGGGCTGATACCAGTCCTGTGAGTTTGTTTTCCTTTGTACGATGTTCGGCATCGCAAGTAGAAACAGATATATGCGTCACGTCTCAGGGCCCAAAAATGGTTGCTTCCCGCATAGTATAACACTCACCATCATCACCCAATTATTCGTACAAAATCAGGCTAAGATTGTCTAGCTTCATGTTGAACCAGTTCTAGAATATCAAAAAACGTTCGACATGTCCATACCAATATCTGATTCAATATACTACAGCTTGAATATTCCACGTGCGCCGCTGGTTGAAAAACAAGCTGACACTGACAAAGCATTAGGTGAGTTCACGACAAAATGAACTGGATGAAGCAAACGCACCATCAAAGTTATTCCAGCGTAGACCCCGCGCAGATTGTAAGAACACAACGATTCACCACGCAGGTCAAGCCAACAACAAGTGTGTGTGACTTCCTGACAGGCCGACCAAAATGGCTTTCCGCTGGTCCCCTTTAAAGCAACCCAAAAGCCGACAACGCACACTTTTATGCGCCGGGCGACTACGCTTATGCGCCAACGAGGAACACTCTTGCGCGGACGGTGAGCACGCTCGCGCGCCAACAAGGAACACTTGTCTCCGCCAACAGTGAACACACTTGCGCGCCAAGAAGGAACACTCGTGTGCGCCAAAAGTGAGCACGCTTATGCGCCAATGAGAAACATGGGAGACAAGTTAATGCGCGTACTGGGGAGCATGCGGTCCCATGACAAGTACATCGCACACGGGAGACAAGTAAATGCGCAGACTGGTGAGCATGTGGCCCGTCTATCTGGCAGCACGGGGCGACAATGAAGGCGCATACTGGGAGACAAGTTAACATGTTGGCGAGCATGAAGGCCCATACTGGGAGACAAGTACATGCGCACACTGGCGAGCGTGCGGCCCGGCGATCTCCCAGCACGGGGAGACACATGAAGGCGCATCCTGGGAGACAAGTACATGCTTTGGGTTTGTGATGTTTCCTGTTGCCTTCCCCAAAAAACCCACCACGAAAGGCATTCCCAACACTGCCATTCCCGCCCTGCCTTTTCTCGAGGTCCCATAAATTATTCTACGAGGGTTCCATCTACCCTTTCGGCCCACTTGACACCTGACCCACCAGGCACTTACTTACAACCCCCCCCCCGATGCCTGTCGTCCCCATCCTGCAGCTCGAAGATCGCGCGGAACCGCCGCCAGTTTAAAATCTTCGGCACCTGGCCGCAGCCGTCGATGCTTCGTTGCTCCCCCAGAGGCTCGAAGGCGTGGTGGAGACGCTCCCAGACCTCCGAGTGGAGGGCCTCGTAGATCCTTGGAGGAACGGGGCGAACAAGGGATATGAAGTGATATGATTCTGTCTTTCGTGGAGGGCACCCTTTTTGGGCTGGTTTACCAACCATTCGTGCGGTCCCCTATGTTGTACCAACTTTCCAGTCAAAGCGGACAGGCGGGTTTCGGAAGAGGCCGGACCAAAACAGAGGGCCCTAGCTTCCACGACGGTGCGTGAATTCAAGAAACTGATCCAAAATCCTAAGCAAGGATAATCTCGTGTGCAAGTGCCAATCCAAACCACACTGGATATCGGACCTATTATGAATCACTATCAAGAACACGACAGATTGAAAACACGATTTTCGTCATTCCCTGGTAGCCTTGGACAATTGGTGAGTGGCTGCAAGGAAATCTGTGAGTCGCCGGATGTGCCCCGGGCTGTGACAGTTCCAACAGCTGATGATCAGCGCGCCTTGCTGAAAAAAAAGAAGTTTGGTTTTGTTCGGTTCAAAGCACCGACCTCTGAATCTGCAAACGAATGCAGTCTCCAATCTCTGAACTTCACACAAACTGCTGGATTCTTCTCATAAGCCCCTCCTTTCACCCCTCCTTGCGCTTCACAAGTCCAGGTGGTCGCCCCAAGTGTGCCGAGACACGGCCAGGAAGTGCCCATGAGCACCCGCAGCCCGTAGAAAACCAGGCCGTCCCGGGCTAACCTCAGTGCTAAAGCCTAAAGCTGACTGGCCAAAGGCTTTGAGCGCTCCTGTAAACCGCCAGGCAACTACAACCATGCAGGCTTACCGGCAAATGGGGCGCATCAAGAGCGCAATGGAACTCGGGCTGTCTCAACCAAAACTGCTGGCATGTCTAAGGCCATGGAGCCTCTCGAAAGTCCAGGCGCAGCGTTCCGCGCGGTCGACGCAGGCGAGCATACGTAGCACATCCGCCATGAGCACCCCCAGTGGGCACTCCTCGCCAAATGGGAAAAGCTGGACAAGCCGAGCGGTGGTTAAAACCAAGCTTGCCGGTACACGTGTTCCTTTGCACGCCATGCTTGAGCGGTGGCCGAACACTAAGAACTGCAGCGTTGCATTCCCAAATTACCTTCGCAAAACCTTTCTTTCGCGGGCCTTGCTTGCGTGCCCTTGCGGATGGTCGGCGAAAATCCGGACTTGACAACTTTCGAGCTGAATGCCCGTCCAGGCGCCGAAACGATGTTTTCGTCTTTCGCCAACCTGCGGTGCTGAGTTGCTTTTTGCCGCAGCCTGGGCAAAATGCAAAGCCTGCAGCTTTCGCGACACGGTTGTGGCGCTTTCGCGAAAGGGCTTGCTCACCGTTTGCGAAGCCTTCGCGGCCCCATCCCATTCGCGCTCAAAACAAAGCCTCTAAGTTCACGTCGATGGACGCGCCACTGAGCCCTCTGCGCCTCAGACGCAGCAGGAGCCCTGGCCTGCGATACTCTGCAGCGGCTTCTCGGTTGAGCGTATCCAAAATGATGCTAGAAACATTGCAGGGGCAACTTCCCCATTGTTTCCTAGGTTGTGTCTTTCCAGAAACCACCAAAAACTGTGGGGAAGTGGCTGGTTTTCCTTGGAAACCGCTCCAACATGCAAGCACGGTCAAGCAAATGCAATAATATCCATCTACGGTGCAGCCAATAAGCCAGGGCAGCATCCTCCAGCAATCACACACGCTTGCCAGGTAATCTCATGTAAGGTGATCGAGAAAACCGTCGAGTGTGAAAACATCCGATGAAGTCAACAAAAATCCAGCTCGTGGCGACCGCCGATGACCAAAGCAGGCAGAGGTGGAACTCCTGTTACTTAAGCGCGGTCGCCATGGCGGTCGTGCACATTGAGACTGTACGTCTTCCCCACAAGATCGAAGCAAAGTCTCGACTCTGTCGACCCTCTCCTGCAGAGCCAGGTCCCTGGTCTCCGGTGTAAGCTGCGCCAGGAAGGCCTCTGACCTTCCGGCGAACAAGCGGCTCGGAAGTGGCCGGCTTTGCCGGAATCCGATGGCCAGAGGATGCAAACGGTATTTGATACTGATTCATGGGCTTTCAGCCATTCTGAGCCTTCAAAGTGAGCAACTCGGCGAACCCCCGCTGCGGGCCACGAGCACAAAGCACCCTGCTTCCACCACCAACAGATTCGAGCTACGGCCAAAACGCCACGCGAGAATCGCAGAGCGCAAGGGTGTAGCCATCAATCCGAATTCGACTTGGACTTGCAGAAGCGCTTGCAACCGAGCCTGAAAGTCTAGGTGCAATACATGCAGTGCTTTCAAGATCAAATCTCTCCAAGCAGCCGATGAAAGCCGACCCCATCTTCACCAAGGCTCTGGACACGGCACAGCCCACGAGATTCTTAAGTCAAAAACACGAAAACAGTTGGCGAGGGTCAAGAACCCATAGCAAAAACACAGAGAGAGCGAGAGAAAGCCATTGTTCTCGGGAAGACCTAGGCATTCATACATTGTGTCTACCCCGAAACATAAAGTTCGGGGGGAAAAAAACAAAAAACGTCTCACCCTTGCCTGGACATCCAGTTCTCAGCCTCCTGCAGCTCTGCGCGCCACTTGGACCATCCAAACGACCGCTGCGCGTCATCCGTTCGCCGGCAGTCGTAGTCCGGCAGCTCCGCGGCTGGAACCACACCCGGCGCCTCCTTGTTTCAGGGTGCCCTTTTCAGGGCGCAAGGGGAACCAAGGGGAAATATTCTATGAGGTGCCAGTTGTTTTAAGGCACATGCGTCGACGTGTCGTCTTTGCAACCAGCCAAACGAGGCCCTGTTGAATTTGCATTTTGTTTTAGGGCTTTGTTGGATCTGCAGTCTTCATGGCCCTGACAAACGGGGTGATATACCCAAAATCAACGGGTTTCTCTACGTAGTTCCCCTCGCAAACCGTCCGACCTGGCTGGCGCTTGCCACCAGGCAGGCGAGGCCCGCCCAGCACCGCATGGCTTACTCAGCGCACCGCAGGCGTCGCGGGCGACGGCCAGGGAGGGAGCGGGGGGGCGGTAGGGGCAAAGGCCGCGTGTGGTGCTGTTGCAACGTTTTGAGGCTATTCGTTGATGGGGCTGTGCTTTCGTGGTTTGCAAAGTTCTTGACATCAGGGGAGCTTGCTTTGGGGCTTGCCCAGCTGCCATCATGCAAACACCTTCGGCATGGACAAAACGACACGGCCCAACTACGTTGTACGTTGCTGCCTTGCATGAATGTTCTTCACTCGTTGTCTGGTCGTGCTCTGGTGTCCTGCTGACCAGAGCCGGGGATAGTCAGTGCCTGAGAGTATCTCCAAGGCCCTCCCTTGAATTGAACATGACAGATGAAGATGTACACCAGATGCACATTCGGATAGGCTCCCCCTTCGCGCCATCAAGGTCAAGAAGCACTGGGGCTTCTGAGAATCTGGCCTTCAGAAATCGAGCCCAGCACTTGGGCACCGAGCAAAAAGTCGAGCATCAGCACTCCAGCGAAACATGCCGCCGCGAGTTCGGCGCGAGATCGAAAGCCTCCCACCTACCCGCGGTACCTTCAGAAAACAAGAAATGGTTTGCAACCCAGAGGGGGCCAAAAGGGCAATAGCCGATGACCTGCACCGGGCAAAACGTAGTGGGAAGTAGAGTATAAATATGCTGGGCTGCGTCTTTTGACGAGGGTTTACTGCGCCTCGCTGTCGGAAGCATCCGGCGAGCCGGCCCTGGCCAGGAGAGCCATGGACCTAGCAGAGGGTTTCTCAAAATGGACCTCTCGGTGTTAAGAGGGAACAAGGAAACCCATTTCTAGGGTCCCTATATTGAGAAACTCCCATGGGCGGAAGGGAGGCAGGCAGGCTGGGAGGGAGAGCGAGAGAGGAAAATAGCAAACACACATGCCTGTTTAAGTATGTAGTCACATGCAAGGACGGTATTCGTAGCGAGCATCACAACAATCAGTTGGATAGAAACTCAAGCTTGCACGTTTTGACGAGTAGCCATATCCGCGTCCTTGTGCCCTAGGGAAATTCAACCTCATGAGTTCCTGTCGCCATCACTGCTCCCAGCCTGGACTTCCGCTTCACCTTCGCCTCCAAGCCGAAGGGTGCGGATGAAGAAACCGAAATCATGTTTGCAACTTGATTCAAAGGAATACGGCTGTGACATCCGAAGCCAAGACTAGTATTGGACATCAAAAAAAGGTTTCACGAATGCCTGGTGTCATTGGTCCCCCCCACACATCCAGGTCCAACAACACAAGCTCACGCTCAGACTGTCGTATTCCCTATTTTGCTACTGGAACTACACGTGGAATGGAAAGGCTCGATGGGCACAATGCGCAAAGCAGCATCGTGCCTGCGGAGGGACCTGAACCTGCACGACCGTTCGGATCGGATTCAAGCTAAGTGACGAACACCTGACGCCTGCTGCGTTCTGTTTCTTGGGTTTTTGCCTTTGAATCATGCTTGAAAGGTAATCTGCGAGTACAGCAAATCAGGGGCAAATACACACGGAAGTACTCCGTTTGCAGTATGAGATCCCCCTTTTCTAAGTTGATTCATGCTTAGCCCGTCCTTTGGTCAAGTTTGGAACAGGAAATCACGGCAAAGCACGCCTACGCCAAATGACAGTGCCGAGTGTCGCGCCTGCGCGGCCCAAGCTTCGAAATCCACCTTGACACCAAGAGGCCGCGCCGTGCGCGCAGGCGACTCCAAGCGCCGGGCCTCGCGCGAGGTGCGATCCAAATCTCCACAAAGAATATGGCTCAAGAAAATACACAAAGAATCTTGAATAATAAATAAGCATCTGAATATGTATATATTGATATATGATAAGCTAGCCCTCCCCCGGCAACAAAACCCCAGCACACCCAGTGTTTAGACAACCCGCCTGCAGCTTCCCTTTCAGTCCACAACTGAAATGCAATTGTGTCCGAGGAGATTGTCCAGAGGTTGTTTCAGTTTGTTCCAGTCTTTTTGGTTGCTTCAGATCTGGACAATGGTCCCTGTTGTGATATAGCAACTGCTACTCCAAGTGCCTTCCGATGTCTCACATATGTTGTTCCTTTTCGGCTTGGCAGTCATCTTCCTTAACTTCCTGCATTGCTAGAGTCCATGGAATAGTCAATCTTCAACCCCAAAATAACCTACCGCAAAGCGCTTTAAACCCTGCTTAGGGCTCTAGAGTCTGGCTTGAGGGTTGATTTCTTCATGAGCTCGCTTGGTTGAAGCGATGATGAGGCATCAACATGAAAATGCGATCACGCAGCCCCCATTTGGCTTCGGCATGCATCTGGCTTAAGATCAAGGCGCAATGTGTTGTTGCCTTTTCCGCGGAAGTTTCAGCAGTTTAGCACTTGCTCCTTCATATTTCAGATGCTTTCAACGGAAGCATTTGGCTGTCTAGCACTTTGGCTGGTTGTGAACATATCACCAGCAACTTTGCAAAGAGCACAGTCCATGAGGGTGGCTAAGTCTGTACACATCCATGTACGCGTGCATAATTCATGTGTATGAATGCATGCTTGCCAGAATGGGCACCCCGAAAGACAGAGTTGAATTTTCCTTTTGTCTTCCCCCTCCCGCTTTCTCTGCCCCGATGCTTGGAGAAAAAAAAAACTCGGTGCGAAATCAAGGGCTTCAACCCCAGAAACTGGGCAAAATTTGTTCAAACAACCAGACCTTGGGTCCAGTTAGAGGGAAACAACACGGGGGTTGTTTAAGAGAAGAGCGAACTTGCAGAACTGTCTTCCCCTTGAGTGCGTCCAGTTCTCACAGGAGCCAAGGCTTCGGAAGCCATGTAAGAATGGTTCAAACATACCTTCTTTCCCGAAATCAAAGCAAGACGTCGGTCCATAGGTGTCCTCAGGCCCCAACGCCGCCGCCCGGCGCCGAACCCGCCTGAACCGCCGGAGCCGCGGGAGCCGCGGGGGCGCGAGCGGCTCCGCGATCCCCTCGGGGCGTGCTGGGCCGGGACCGCTGCTTTGGGTCCTGCGATCGAGCCATTGGGCAATGTAAGCTGTGGACCCAAAATGAACGTTGCCTAACCCAAAATGAGTTTACACCAATCATAAAAGCTGAGAGGGGTTGTTCCCAGGTGCCCCTTTCTTTTCTCCTGCATTTGTTTCTCGAAGTGATTGGAACATCGCTTCAACATGACAGGGGAAATAAGGAAGGGAAACGAGGAAAGGGGGA